CATTTTTTTTTATTTTATGATAATTTTGAATTTTGTTTTGTTTTGCAATGTTTATAATAAATCATTTTTGATATAAAGCTTTTTGTTTGTCTCCTGATAGAACGATCATCTATAATCCATTTCTATCAATGTAGATTAATCAGGAAATGGAAATATAGTAACACCGTTACTTTTACCGTTACTTTTTATAATAATGATGCCATAATGACGTTGCAATTTTTATGATTGTAACGATAACTAATTGAGGTTGCAATAAAGTGAGGAAATTATTTTTAAATATAATTTGTCACTATTACGTATTATTTAAAAAAACGTAATTTGTTTATACTAATTATGTAACGCATTGATGTGTTACTTTATTCGTTACAAGTAAAAGTAACTCATTACAAATAATGATTTACTTTCTTCAGTAACAAATGATTTTTTTAATTCGTTACAAGTATACAAATTGAATTTTCAACTCTTATCATTATTGCCATAAAAACTTCGCAATATCATTATCAAATTGTTATTATAACAAAATAACTATAAAAAGTAACGGCATTATAAGTAACTAATGTATACTTTTTTTCCTTGAAATTATATAACTTTATTTTTGTTTAATTTACTTTTTATTTTCTTCTCTCATTATATAATATTAGAATTTGATCAAATATTGAGAATGAGTTTGTAATCAATGTGTAGGAATTCTCGATTTTTTCAGATTTGTTGACTATACAGTTTTTTTTAAATAATTTTTTTAAATAATTTAAATTTTTATAAGAAAAAGAGTTTGAAGTAATTTAATTATAAATCAAACATAAGAATTTTGAAGAATTACATGGATAATAAAAGAATGGAGTTAATGTTTAAAGAACATTTTGAAATTAAAAAAATTAAATTTCACCATAATTATTTTCGTGCAAGAATATGAAATGTTCAGCAATTCTTTTTAAATATGATGTCATATAGTGAAAATGTAGTAACATCGTTTCTACCAGAATTATCAATATTTTTATCAAAATTAAATTTAAATAATTACTACAAACAATGTTTCTTCAATATTTTCCACATAAATTAATTTTCTATTAAGAAGAAAATATTTAATAACAAATTAGTTCCGCTGCTTAAATTTTATTCATTATTTATTTTTTAAAAGATACGGCTCTCGTATTAAGATAAAAAAAGTCACATGACTCCTCTCCATATTTTTAAGCTGGAGAAGCTCCTTAATCTACAGCAATAGAAACGGGCATAAAATTAACAAATTCTGCTGTAATTTAACTTTGAAAAGTTTAACAATTGTCTCATTAAAATAATTATTTAGTATAAGGCGAAAATTTAATTTAATAAAATACATGCGCATTTGTGCAAAAACATATCAGAAGTCTATAAGTTCATCGAAGAAGGCAGTTTAGTTAAAACTATCATGTGTCCATTTCAATCTATTTCTAATTGGGATCAACTTGTGTCCGGAACTGTTATGTGTCCGTTTGTGGGACAGTGTTCATTTCTGATTGGGATTGTAATCGATTGGCGTACCCTGCTATGTCTGATCTATTTTGTGCATGTATCTAGAACCATCCCGATTTAGATCCATTATAGCTTTTTACAAATTTTGATGTAAGATCCATTTTATTTATTAATTCAATACATATATATAAACATATCTATTGTTTGATGATCTTTTATAATATCACAGCATTTAGTATCACACATCAATATCATATACTGATACTTAGTATCATATACTCTGTCTTTGCTTTATTTTTGTACTTCATCGTTATTCTATGATCAATGTAAGTATTTCATTTTATATTCTGATTATAATAATTTCAAAGTTTAATATTCCAGTTCAATTTTTGATCACTGTTCAAGTATTCTAATATTATAGACGGTTAACTTTTTATCTCTGAATAATAAGATTAATGATGCTTTTTGTTCGATGACGTTCCACATTTATTCTAATTTATTGTAAAGTGTAGTGCTATGTAATGCTTAGTAATTGTTAATTCTGAAGAGAACTCAGAATCAGGTCAAAGTATTTGTAATTTTATCTTATTAATAACTACTTGTTACACACACAAACAACTAATGTCTCACAAAAGAGCTTTTCATTATATCTATCTATAATTTATTTCTTCAGAGTCTTTCTTGTAAATTATGGATAAATTTGCTTTGTATTTCTTTTATTTTTAATATATTTCAGAAAATAAAAATATTTACAATTCTTAAAAAATACTTCTTAATTTTCCTTAATTTTTGTGTAAATTTATATATATTAGAGTTTAAAATTTTTCAAATTGTCAAGAAATGCGTTTTTCGAGTAAAAAATTATTTCCAAATTGGTCAAAGGAATTTGGAAAGACATCGATGGTTCAACATCGTCCTGTATAAAAATACAGTACAATTATAACAGAATAAATGACGTCGGAATAAATCAAAACTGTTAAGGAAAATCAGTTGTTTGAGAAAATACAGTTATATTAGTGAAGTTGTGCGTGTAACAATAAATTGCGTAAAATAAATTGGCGTAAAATGATACGCCATAAACGCTTCACATCCAAACGGAATTTTGAAACGGGCACATAAGGTATACCTGTGGCCTAGCGGCGAGATGTACGAGCCAATACTCCGCCTCGCCTGGAGCCTTAGCGGTACACTTCAATTCATCTTGACTCGAGCCTAAGAAGTAGCCTCTCTGGAGGTTTTTCAGAGCCCATCGCCCGCTGCCTGTAATTTGTTACGATTGCCTTGAGAGAATTGCTGATATACTTTTACTCATTCATTATAGAGCTCCAATTGATCCGGATATTTGAAATAATCGTCTGACTGATAACGCCAAGTCAGAACATAAAAATTGCTTCTCATATCTCGTTCAGTTCGATTAAAAGATAAGATTTACGAATCGATATTTGTAAATATAGAGAAATTTCAAATTCAAAACTTAAGAGCCTGTAGGAAATCAAATAAATTTTTTTAAAAATGTCCTTTATAGAGATATGCTCGTTTTTACTTCGTTTTGAAGAAAATCACAAAATTTAAAATAAAACGTACAATAATTTTCAGAATATTATTTTCAAAGCGGAAAATTGTACGACTTCAGCGATAATCCTTTAGAGGCAGTGCGAGAGTATGCGCGCCGATTTCTAGGCAGAAGTGTGCCGGATCGGCGAGTCATTATGTCGACAAAATCAGTATTTGGTTGCAACAATTTTATACTGTCCGTACAAGATGCATGCATTATTGCACGAGGCTAATATTTTGAATAATATCTACATTAACAGTGTAAATAAATAAATATAAATGAATAAGTAATAAATAAGTGTAAAAATTAAAACTATGTTGTCTTTTTTCGCGATTTTCTCCCAAACAGAGAGAAAATGAGCATATCTCTAAAGGATTTTTTCCTTAGTTTATCGATCCCGAAGTTTGAATATTTAAATTCAGAACACCCTGTAAACTACAACGCGAAAATTATTCCAGTATCGAAATGAAAATTTTCCTTCCCTCCGTTTCCTCATTCATTTCCTCATATTTAATTAAATATATATCTCTTTTAGCGTCGGCTCTCGGAGACTTCTTATTTATTATTGATTTATATCATTAGAGCACAATTTTGAGATTGTTATCTTGTTTTTTAATGCATTTACTATTTTTTCTTCGTGGAAAACAATCTATCTTGACTTTGAAGATATAAAAAAATTTGTAGAATGTAAAATGAATTTTCTGTTTCTGATACTCTAATACAAATCAAACAAAGTGAAGCTCAAATACCATCAGAAGCAAGTTGTATTTGAAAAGCGCATCCTGGATCCGACGAGTCCTCACTTTCGCACGTCACATTACCAAATTGGTCAACCGCTAGGTATCGATCCAAGTGTGAGCGAAGGAAAACCTGATGCTCGCTGCCCTCTAAAGTCCATAATTGTTTTTTCTTCAAGCTCGATCCATTAGCATTGATTTTAAAACCGAATGTCTCCGCCGTTAGATACTTAAACTTCCCATTAATTAACCCAACCTGAAAAACATCATATCTAATTATTATATAACTTATTTGCTTTACTGTTTTACTATTTTAAGACATTTATCGTGTGTTTGTCGAGTTAGCTCTCAATATTAGATTATGTAAATAAAATGGAATTTATATTTTTGGATAGAAATATATGAAGCAGAATTTTTCAAAATTTGCAAAATTTCATTTTTTTAATTATTTTAGAGATGTTCAATGTTAAAAGACTCATATTGTAAACTACTCTGAGATATGTTCATTTTTTCATCGTTAATTTATATACCGAAAAAACATAGACATTCCGAAATATTATATTTTCTAACTAGAGACAAATAAAATGCATTTGTTTAACATTTTTAACAATTATTCAGCAATTTTGTTTAGTATTTCACATCCTACTGATTGGCATATTGTTGTTTTCTGTAAAGTGCGTAATTTTTTTGTATAGGAATTTCTTTCTCGTTTTCTGAAAATTATAAATTTTGGACAAAACATTTTGAAAGTCTGCTTCTCATATGAGGTACAAAGAATCTGTTGAATAAAATAACTAGAAGTTTTAAATTTTTGAGCATAGGGGAGAATAGAGAATACATTGATCTATTGACGTACAAGAAGATTTTAATTACTGACGGTACTCTACTTAGAGCGTATAGCACAGCTAAAGTCCACAAACCGACAATCCATTGAGAATAATAATTTCGACGATCAATAGCCCATTGTATAATTTAGCTTATTATTTACAAAAGATATTCGAGGCAGTATGCCTCGATATCCTGGAATTGTCAAATTTTGTAGAAAAATCAGCATTTGAAATTGAAATTTAAAAAATTAGGCGATATTGTATTGTAAAAAGATTATGTTTTAATATCTTTGAGTATATAGTCCCTCTTCACAAATGTGCTTATTAATCTGGCGATTAATAGAAGAATAAGAAAAATAAAATATAAGAAAAAATCCATATCATATCCAACAATACGTCATTGCTACTTAAGTTTGAGTATGCCATTAAGATTTTGAATTCTATATATTTTTCTTTTAATATATATATATATATACATACACTATGAACTTCTATAAGACTGGTTGTCTTTAATAGTATCTCGTCGGTGCTACGGAAAATAATCAATCGCGTTCTTATAGTTTTTTTCTCGTATTTTTTAAATAGTGTAATATGCTAACTTTTTTGCAATTTTAACCACGAATTTCTTCAAAAATGGTAATGTAATAAAACAATTTAGTAAAAATGTAAAATAATTTAGGATCGTTTTTTAATGTCTAAAAAATACAGAAAACGATTATCTTCGTTCTTGTGCACTTTTTTTATCAATTATTCATAATTAAATTGTAATTATCTGTGAGATAAAAGAGATAAAAGAGATGAGAAAGATAACTGTAGATTAAATAGCGGTGATTCACTCTTTAATTGATGGAGATGTCTTCGTAATCTCGGCAAGCTACAGTTTATATTAAGCAAAATTCGATTAATCGATACACACCGTCCATCCTGACTTGTCGACTCCATTCTCGGATCCTACATTCTCCGAACCGTTGCTCTGCATCGTATTACCGTAATTCAGTTACTGTCACTATTTAAATGTATCCCAAGTAGTTTCTCAAATCTGAAATAAATACGTATGTCAATTAAATAACAGTCTTTATTCCAAGCATATGAGCATGATTATTTCGATTAATTAATTAATTCGAATGTAATCAAAAACAGTTTCAAATGCGTCGTTGTGTCACGATAGGGTGGGATTAAAACCTCACTACAAATACTTTGAAATATATTTTATATAATTTACCATTATAATTGACCATCAATCAAAAGAAAGAATTTTACGAAGTGACCAATCAAAGAAAGTTTCAAAGTATCATCACATTGACCGTACCCTTGATCACATCCCCAATAAAAAAAATTTCGATTGCAAGAATTTATGGAATTTATTCGCCTCAGTTGAAGGACAACGCATTTGCTTCTTTATGAACCTCATTATTTTAAATGGTAATTCTTTAATAAAAAAGAATCGGCTCCAATCATCTTGACATATGTTGTCATGATGAGTAGCCTTTAAAAGGTTCTAATCGCTTGTTAATTATCAGAAAGCTATTAATAATCAAAAAATAAACAGTGTCGATAAGCGACATGCTTGGCGACATGTCAAATAATAAAAACATAAAAATAATAAACATAAAAATAATAAATAATGTCGATAATCTATTACATATGAGATACACAGATATAATTAATCGATATAATTAATTCTTAACATTTCAAAACTTATTTAAGTATTTATAATATTGATGTAAAATAGAAATTCATCAAATTTCTAATTTAACCCCGAATTTTTAACATTTCAGAAATTAGTCTTTTACTTAAATCTTATATCTTTCACAATCAAAAAACTATATTCTCCCAGACAAATGCAGGATAAATTGTAATTAATAAATTCTATTATGATATGGAGGTGACTGTTTTTTTTATTTATATGTGATTTCATTGTTCTGAAATTCTCGTTTTAAGCTCTTCGTCGGCTCAACATAAGAAGCATTGGACTCTTCACATGAGATCTCATATACGTTCTTTTTAGAATTTTTAGGAATAACATCTTTCTATACTTTAATAATTCCGCCAAGTTTATTGAGACTTAAAAAAAGGCAGGTTTTACATTAAGATCTCTTTTATAGCATTTCTAAATTTCTTAAAAAGAAAGGAATTGTAAACCATGTTTTTTCTTCCTCTCCTGTATTTCCATCTGTTTGAAAATTCTTACTTGAATAGAGATTTTAACCATGAATTAATCGTGTCCAATACAAACTTATAATGGGATAATCATTCTCTAAAAAAGTGTTATGGTTAATAATTTCAAGTTATCCCCGTGAAATTTAGAATGTGATAATAAGAAAGTTCTATGAATTATGCTCATTAATATGCCCTTTCTCACAAAAAAGAGCATGTTAATAAGCATGGACCGTACTTCTATTAATAAATTAGTTTCATTTTTATCAATTTCTAAAGTAAATTTCTAGAATAAAAAGAATTAAAAATATCGAATAATTTGTTGATTAAATGATGACTGACATCGCTATGTCATCGACATACCTAAGATAAAATGATAAATCAATTCTAAAAATCTTCAAAGCTCTACTCTACATCTTATATTACTAAATCTGATTTTTCAAAAATTAATTTTTTTTATTTTTCAAAAATTTTTTTATGCATCAGGAATTGTAGATATTCACAAAATGAAGATATTAGGTTCAGAACTATTCGATCTGGATTTTCGATAAGAAGTTAGCACCCCATTTTTTTAAACCGATGTGAACCTTCAACTTTCTTCACATTTAATAATGCTTCAGTATTCAATTTTTTTGTATTGTTTTCAATATTTTTGATAAACTCGATGCAATTGCTCGTTCTGTTACTGGTAGTGAGAAATTACCACTCAATTGCAACAAGCATTGAATGTAAGAATTGTATTGTTAGAAAGATTGATGAACCGTTTATTCTTAACAGAACTCAGAGTAGAGAAATCACTTAATTGAGGAAAAGAAAAAAATTTGATAACAATTTCCAAAGCATCATTATCATTCTGTGATAAAGGAAAATAAAAGGAAAATACGTAAGTATTATTCCCAAAAATTGAGCAGAAATATTCAATAGGTTTTGTATTCATTAAGTTATCATTACTGTAATTGAAATTGATCAGTTCATTTTCTTATCAAAATTCTTGTGTTCATGTAAAAACATTCGATGAATTATTCTGTTTCTTAAAAAATGATTTGCATAAGTAAGTAAATATTCAACAAGATATTTGCAAGATGAAGTGTATAAATTATATCTATGTTTTCGATGCAATAGCTTAAACGCGTCATTTAATATTAAGTATCCTACACTTTAAATCTGTAACATAAAAATTTTTTGGGGGTGGTTTCCTTATACTATTAAATAATTACCGGTAAAAAAATCCCATCAAGTTTTAACATTCCAGCAATTACCTTGAATTGGTTCAACATAATTATTTTCAAATCTGCATCTGATCTAATTTTTATACATACTTTAGCAAAACGATTCTTTTCGTGTATATAACGTAAGTCTATGAGAAAGAGTATGGGAGAGGCACATTGAAGTATGGAAGGGTGGCCTTTATGTTGCGCGTCGATTGAGAAATTCGCCAGTGCGCGTATTGATTCTTCGAGTCTCATCCTAACGCTATTACTAGCGAACGCACGACGTCTGGCTCCCCGCAACTCGGAACGAAACATTTGCTGTTATTTGCCGGGTAAACGTTCGCCAAACCTTGCTTCTCTGCATTCTGCTTGCACCTGTCATGCGGCGATTTCGCATCATTTTACTCTGGTTTTTTTCTCCGATTTCACAGCGCGCGATCGCAATTTTGCTACATCCTTACGTTATTATAACGTTAACGTTAATGCACCGTCTATTCCAAAATCCTTTTTAAGAAATTTTCACTTTTTTAGAAGGAGTAACAGCAAAAGTTTTTAGTCTTGCGATTTTAGAATTGAATTATGTACCAAATGATGTTATGGCGAGACATCAATCACAAAAACATTTTAAGTTGAAGTTAGAATTAGTTTAAGAGATATAATAGGAAAATCAAAATTCATTACAATATCAGCCTTTATGCTTTAAAGTACGAATTTTTGTTTGTGTCAGTACGGTAATTTGAAATTTCGTATCCGGGGGTTCTGCTGCAACAAATTTGAAATTAGATTTTCAAAATTCAAAATCTGACGGATCATATATTTAAAACACAGATTTGTGCAATTTTTCTGAGATATATATATATGCTTTGCTGTCTGAGGAGATATTTGATCATTTTCAACGATCTACAAAATGTTCAATAATTTTTTTTAGTATCCAGGTGAATGTCACATTAAAGTGTTATTCTTATCTGTTCCAATATATATTCGATTGCTATTTTTTTTTGCTGAGATAAAGTACTGAATCCTTTTGCTTCAACACGAAAACACAAGTCTCCGAAATATCTCGAAGAGCTCGGGTTTGAGAAAAAAGATTCATTTAAAGAGCATGCATTAAAAATTTGTTTATTATGATTCTAACTAAGTCTGTGAAAATATGGAAAATAATCTAAAATTCTTTTCACTACTAAGTGAAACTTAATCTTTTTATATTTAATATGACGGATTATATATTTTAAAAATATTTTAATTTATATGAGAAATATTTTGCAGAGATTTTTCTTAAATCTAACAAAGGCTGATATTATAAATCTGAAGTCAGATCTTTGGGAAAAAATGCTGACTCAGTATAGTGAACGAAACTTATATTTATTTTTATGAAGATCAATACTCGGTCTATTAGAATTGGTCGCAATATATGATTAATATTAAATATTTTTATTTGTTATAATCTGAATTGAGATTTTTTTATCAAAATCTTAATACAAGCCACGGAAATATTTTATAAAAATTATTTAGTCGGCCAACTTTAATAAACCGAGTTCTTTAATAAGACTGATCTTCGATGAAAAATTTTTTTTATTTTCATCCATTACTGAACCAGTCGTTTTTTTAAAGAAGGGAAATTCAGAAAATTATGAAACATTGTGTGCAAGTAGAGTAGTTCACTCTCACATAACAAAGAACTATTTTTTGTTTATATTAAGATTTAAGGAGATGAAATCATCCTCTTGAAAAAAATGTAGATATGTTTTTTTGACAGAATAACTGCAAATAATGAGAAATATCGGAAAAAAAGTTCACGAATGTTTTGACTATATAATATCAGCTAAAAGTTAAATAATATCAGTCAAAATTTCCATGAATATATTCTAAAACCAACTGCAAAAATCAAAACAACGAACAATTTAGCTTATAATGATTTTATGCAACAAAATGATCATATTTTTCTGCAGTTTTAGATCAATCACTTTTGAACGAATAAGTGAATCCAAATAAACTTTTACACAAATATTTACTATTATGTTTGAATTTTTCAGTATATGTTTAGAATTTTATTTGATTCTTAATGTTACTCTCTCTTCAAATTTATAAATAAGTACTGCAAAACATTTTTTTTAGAAGATTTTATAGAAGAATCAAGACTGAAAAATTTAAATAACTTTCAAACAAATAAGGGAAATTTGTTTAAATTTTATATAGATATCAGATGTAATAATAGAACACTCTATGAAATTTTTATATTTTTGGTAATGTTTTCAGATGTAATCTATACATCCTCAAACGAAAATTATAGTTATACTTCTTTTTTTATGTATGTATACATACAAAACTGCATATAAATATGTATAAAAATCCAAAATATGTATAAAAAATCCATATTTTTCAAATTATTCCTACTACTAACATTTAAAATTAAGTTACTTTGTAAAACTAACTAGTGACGAAAGTATATGAATTATAACAACAGCAATACATATATTAATATATTAACAAATATATACACATAATATTACTATATTATTATTAGTCATTTTAAAAAAAATTCTCAAGCAATGATTACTAACTTTTTAATGACGATTGATTGCTGTCGCAAATGAAACTAATAAGAATACGTGATATTACAATAAAATTGCAAATAATTATGCACATTAGGATCGATCTCGGCAACTTCAAT